CGACCGCGGCGGAAGCGTCGCTGGCCAGTCCTACCTCATACGGCACCGCCACGGCCACGCCGGCGAGGAGCCCCAACGCCCCGGCAGAGGCTTCAGCCAGAGCTCCCACCACAGGCACCTCAACAAGATCCAGCACGGCGATGGGCACCTCCTGCCATTCTAAAGACACTGGTGCCAGTGGGAGCAGCCTGGGGGCACCAGGGGTTCCTGGTGGTGAATTCCCCATCTCATCCCTCTCAGTGGGTTTTTACACTTTGGGTTGGGGGTAATAAATCCTGTTGGAGTCCTCAAACCCAGCCCCACCTCGCTCTGCCGGTGCTGCTGGACGTGGCACCCAATGCACCAGTTGCACCAGCGATACCACGCACCCTTTCCAGGAAAAGGACCTAAGTGGGGTTTTGGGGGGTGAGTTAAAAGGGTGGCAGGTGTCAGGAGGTGTTGAGAGAGCCCTGTCACCTGGGGAGGACCTTGGCATTTGAATTTTGGGGGTCGGGGGCCCCCATCTGCCACTGGGTCCAGTCTGGGACTTCCCAGAGCCTGCTCCACAGGCTCAGAGGCGACAGTGGCACAGTTGCCATCAGGGGGGGCTGGGTTTGTTACTGGGTTCATAAATGTTTCTATTTGTATATATTCAGTTTTGTTATTATTACTTTCATTAAAGCTGTTTTCACTTTTCCAAGGTGTAAGTTTCTCGCCTGTGATTCTGCCACTGGGTCCAGTCTGGGACTTCCCAGAGCCTGCTCCACAGGCTCAGAGGCGACAGTGGCACAGTTGCCATCAGGGGGGGCTGGGTTTGTTACTGGGTTCATAAATGTTTCTATTTGTATATATTCAGTTTTGTTATTATTACTTTCATTAAAGCTGTTTTCACTTTTCCAAGGTGTAAGTTTCTCGCCTGTGATTCTACTGAGGAATCCCCAGACTCTGGAGGTAAGAGGGAAAGTCTGGAGGGACAAAGACTCTCCCCTTTGGTGGAGGAGGAGTGGGTTAGAGATGAGTTAGGCAAACTGGATCCATGGGCCCCGACGGGATGCACCCATGGGCCCCGATGGGATGCACCCAGGAGTGCTGGGGGAGCTGGTGAGGTTATTGCTAAGCCGCTCTCCATCATCTTTGAAAGGTCATGCAGAACAGGAGAGGTGCCCAAGGGCTGGAGGAAAACAAGTGTCACTCCAGTCTTCAAAATGGGCAAGTAGCAGGACCCAGGAAATGACAGGCCAGTCACTCTCGCCTCCATCCCTGGAGAGGTGATGGAACCACTCCTGCTGGAGGTCATCTCTAAGCATGTGGAGGATTAGAAGGTTATCAGGAGTAGTCAGCATGGATTCACCAAGGGGAAATCCTGCTTGAGCAATCTGATAGCTGCCTAGGGCAGCATGGCTGGCTGGGGAGATGAGGGCAGGGCAGCGGGTGGTGTCTGCCTCGGCTTCAGCAAGGATTCTGACTGTGTCACCCACGATGCTCGGGAAGCGTGGGTTAGATGGGAGGTGGGCTGAGAATGGGCAGCAGGATGGAGCTCCGAGGGTCGGGCAGAGGGCAGAGCCCAGCTGGGCCCTGCAGGTTGCCCAGGGCTCAGCCCTGGGGCCACCCTCGGCCACCACATTTGTCACAGCCCCTCCCAGCGCCCACCCCGTCGGGCAGGGGCTGCACAGGGTCGTCAAGGCTGGAAGAGACCTCTAAGATTGTCAGGTCCAACCCACCACTACCATCACCACCAAGCCACGTCCCCAAGTGCCACATCCACACCTTTTCTGAACCCCTCCGGGGATGATGACTCCAGCACCTCCCTGGGCAGGCTGGGCCAGGAGAGAAATTCTTCCCAATATCCAGTCGAAACCTCCCCTTGCACAGCCTCAGCCCATTTCCTCTTGTCCTATTGCTGGTTCCTTGGGAGAAGAGCCCAGCCCCCAGCTCACCCCAACCTCCTTTCAGGGAGCTATAGAGCACAGTAAGGTCTCCTCTCAGCCTTCCCTTCGCCAGACTAACCAACCCCAGGTCCCTCAGCTGCTCCTCACCAGCCACGTTCCCCAGACCCCTCTCCA